CGCCGCCGCCGCCGCCGCCGCCGCCACCGGCGGCAAAAGCCGGCCGGCTCTTCCCGCGCTCCCGGCGAAGATACCTGCCGGCGCGCCAAACGAGCAACGCGATACAATTGTAAGAAGACGGAGACAACATCGCGATGTCGTTCAGTAATGTTGCAAAAAACTCTCTCAAGCGCGGTTTCTGAAAACTTATTTTTAGCCTACTTGTACCTTTTTTTTTTGAAGTGTCATTCAAGTCACAACCTACATGTGACTCCTAGACAACGTGGCAATTCGCTCGTGGCAATCATTGTTCCTCCCGTTTACGACGGCAAAAAAACCGTGACATATTGATACACTGTTCTATGTCTGTAGTATCTGGAGTTGTTTCGGTATAAAAGGAACGAAAGTTTTACCCTATCTGTGAAATATGCGTATAAATGTCTCCGTGAAGTGAAAAAGTTGCTCCGAAAGCTAGAAATTGTTGTGCATTATTGTCTCGTAAATCGTAAATACACACGTCTCTTTACGGTAGTAAGTCTTCAACAAGTCCAAGTTCGAGAGTTCGAACGAAAGATATATTTTTAATTTTCGGGAAAAGAAACGGTATGTTTTACATTAGAGATAAGCTGTTTTTAGGCGATAATAAACAAAAATGGAAAAAAAAACGAGAGAAAAATGTGTATGATTCCGATGTGTAAGTACAGCTACTTACGACTGTAAAATGTCATAATCGCGCGAGAGACGCGTAAGTAGCAATGATAACCGCGCGACGAGAATGAAAACGAAAGGGAGGCGACAGAAGTTGAGCGCACGGCTTGAGTGTCAAGAGAGGAAAGGGAGGAAAGGGAAAAGAGAGGAGGATGAAGTAGACTTTGCGGACAGCTGTTTCCTCGTCTAACACCACCTGCACCCGGTTCGCTTCTGCGTGCAGGTCACATTCCGTGAAAAGAAAAAGAGAGACAACAAACGCGCGCGCTCGACTCACGATGACGCGGCTTTTTTTCGGGGTCTTCGCCCTTTATCTCCGCGTTATGAACTTGCTCGGTGATAACCTCGCTTCGTTCACAATTTAACTTCGCTCACGATTTAAAACACAAACCTCGAGACCGGGGAGTATTTCTCCGTATGTTCGAAAGCGGATGCATTTAAACGCTAAACGACGTTTCGACGACAGAGTCAGAGAAGAATTTTATCGCGTATCTCTGAGAGTTCCTCTCTCGGTTGTTTTTTTTTTTTTTTTTTTTACATTGACACTTTCAGCTTCAAAATGATTAATAACAGCTCTTCTTCAGTTACTTTTTC